AATTCTTTATTTTGTGTCTTGTTTCCGTTTTTTTTTAATTTGTTCCATGTTTTTAAAAGGATGCCGTCTCTGGACATATATACATATTTATGTATATATGCGTCTGTGCATAAGGAAAAGCGCGTCAAGGCAGGCGGCGGTAAACAGAAGAATGCGCAAAGTGTAGAGGGTATCAAAAATTCCGTTTGTTGCGGTAATATTCCCGTGGCAGCCTCTTTGTCATTTATTCTTTTCTTCTTCTTCGCCTGTAATATATACATATAATTTTCTTTGTGGTGGTGATTGTTTTTTATTTTGTTTGTTTCCTTTTGGTGAATAGAGCGTGGGTTTAGAAGGCCGCGTACGCCACTGCCTCTTCTGCCGCTTTTAAATTCTTTTTCGTTTTACTCCCGACACTAGCCACCCATTGGCTTCTCCGGGCGCAGACACACGCACGCGTGCGCGCCCGTGCCCCGCCGCGACCTCCCTCGTTGGCGTTGTCTTTAGTTGCGCTGCAGGACGAGCGGGATGGGGCCGAAAAAAGGACAGAAGAGGACGGAGGAGACGAACCTCGCCGCGGAGGGCCCTTTCGCCCTTGAGAGCGCCAAGGCCTTGGCGAAGTGGACGGAACGGGTGTCTGTGGTCAGCAGGAAGATCCAGCAGGTGCAGCACGTCCTCTCGCTGCTCTCGTCGCAGATGGAGGGGTGCAACAAGGAGCTCGCGGACGTCTACGAGAGTGCGAGTCTCCTCACAGCACTTCGCATTGTGGAGTATCGACAGAAGTTGAACCCCCACCCGCCGGGCTCGCCAGCGAAGAAGCAGCGCCTGAAGCGCGAGAGCTCGGTGAAGTCGCTCTCGCAGCCGTTGCTGGCCGAGAACAGCACCGAGGCTCTGCTGGCAGCCATGGACGAGAGGAGGCGCCTCCGGGTCAGCGGCGCTCTTGTGAGCCTCTTCAAACGCAACAACACGGAGAGCCCTGTGCTGAGTTCTCCAACATACGCCGCGGCGGTACCGGGAGGCGGTGGCACCGCGAACTTTGCGGAGGCAGTTGGGCGCCAACAGGTAACCGCGCCAAGTTCTCTTCCAACCGACATAGGTAGTGCTTCAACGAACGTAGATCAGCGACGGCCGAAAGACGTGCCGCCTGAGCTCTGGGAGGAGGTCTCTAAGCTCCGGCTTAAACGGCTGACCTTGGAAGGGCGGGGGAAAACGTTAATGAGCAACATAGACGCACAACTTGCGAGATTTGACTTACTCATGCAGAACCACGGCATTGCCACGTATGCAACGGATGAATTGGAGCAGACGCTTCAGAAATTACGGCTGGGAAAAAGTACTCCTGAGCACCGTGATGCAAAGTAAACACAATGTGATCTTCACCACCGTGAAAGTGTGGCGTCTCAAGCAATTTTTCTGAAATGTACATAAATACTGGAAATGCACACACATTCAACCGTTAGTACGTTGCTTATGCGTAGTTCATCTGTCCACATAGAGAGCTGTACATATTAATATGGGTATTCTGCGTTTTTTTTTGTATTTTTGTGTTCGCATTTTATTTTCTTTCCCCCCCCCCGCCCCCCTCTTTTGGTGTTGGATAGTGTTCGGTTTTTGTTTTATGCATCGCCGCAGGCCTGCAGTGAATGGGTGGAGGTTTATCAAAGCAGGAAGAGTTGTTTCTGCTCGGCCAATGGCCTGAGCTCCTAGAAAGCGCCATGAGCACCGATGCTGAAAGGTCCGATGAAGGCGCTGACAGTGATAGGCATTCCTCGTCAAAGTTCCGCATGTCTTTTCATGAATGGCAGGCCCTCATCTCCCTGCTCGAAGGCGCGCTGCCCTCTGAGGTGCCGTCACGCATCTGCGCGGGCATCCGGGGCCCGCAGCTCATGAGCCCAATTGTTGCCGTCATGGTACACGCCTGTTGCTGGGCGGATGGAAGCGTCAGTGGCGCGAAGTTCGTCGAGTGCCTTACACTCCTTCAAGATGACCTGCAGTCACAGGATGGCGCTCCGAGGCAAGGGAAGCGCTCCAAGGAGGAAAAGGCCGAGCGGGAGTTTGTGTACGCCGCTCTCCGCGTCCTCACCGGCCTTGCGGCACGGCGAAAAAAAACATCGGCTCAGAGTTGCGTAGCTAAAGTGGGAAATGGGGAGGTTAACAGCCTCATCGCGTGGGGTGGCTCCAAGAGACCCGTTGTTGTGCTTGCGCACGCCTTCATCATCGGAGCCCTTGCCTGCGTCCACCCGGAGCCGTGCTACGCCGAGGCCGCCATCCACGCCTTTCGCAAGCTGCAAGATACGATGAATGAGGCAGTGGCCTCCGCTTCGCGTGAGAGACGAGGTGGAAGGACTGCCGCATGCAGCGTCGCTGAGTGGCAAGCTGTGCGACGGCTGGAAACCGTCCTTGTGCGTCGCCAACAAGAGAACGATGTTGCCGACCTTCTCTCGACAAAAGATCGATGGTGGCTTCCTTCGAAGGCGACGGAGGCGCAAGCGTCGTCCACGCAAAGCCAAGAGGAGCGTTGGCATGCGGTGTCTTCGCACTACATTGGCCAGCAGCACGTATGGGCAACTTTGAAGACGCACTTCTTGACCTCGAGCGTTTTCAACGCCGAAAAACCGACGGTGATTCTCCTCTTTGGTCCGTCAGGGTTTGGTAAATCAGAGTTGGCGCGTCGCCTCGCGTGCGTGATTCACGGTGTTGAACCCGACGAGGTGGAGAGCAGTGGCAAGTTGGTTTATATACACCTCCCATCCTTCTGCACACGTGATTCCATATACTCGCTCGTCGACCCACCGGCCGCGCACGTTGGGGAAGGCGTTTTACTCTCTGCGCTCCGCAGGAATGATGACGCCGTTGTTGTCCTTGATGAGTTTGAAAAGGGCACCGCAGACGCCATTCAAAACCTCTGGCTTTCCGCCTTCCAGAAGAAGGGTACGCTCCGCTCGTTAAAGGAAGCGTCACGGTCAATATCAACAGAAAAAGTGACCTTTGTTCTCACGTGTAACATTGCCGCTGATAACATCCTGCGTCGCGAGGAAGAATACTTGCGGGCCACTGCAGAGGAGCAGGCGAACATGCGCGAAGAGTGGATCAATGTGTGTAGAGAGGCGTGTCGAAGGACCATGCATGATCCTTTTGTCAATCGTGTTGATTACTTTTTTCCTTTTGTCCCATACACGGAGGAGGAGAAGCGGCAGTTTATTCACCTGCAGCTTCGTCGAATTTTGCTTGATCAACGTGCGAAACACCGTTGTTTTTATGTTACACCTCGCATGGTAAAAGCCCTCGCAAGGAAACTGCAAACGTTTCATGCTTCAACCATAGAGGGTGTGGTGCGTCCGTTGCTTCTGGAGGCGATGCGGAAGAAGTGGGATACCGCCGTTTTTACCGTGGTGGAGTATACCAGTGGCACAGCGTTTGTGGCACTTCCCGCAACGGGCAACTCCAATGGCGCTGCAACGTGGAACTCCCTTCCTGGAGCCAAGCGTGCGCTGGAGCTGTGTGAGGAGCCCGCCGGCGTGGCAAGAGATGAAACTCCAGTAGAGAAAACTCCGACCGACGTGGGGTCTGGCACCAAGAGTGGTGATGCCATTAGTCGTAGTAGTATTGCGCCCAGTCGGAAAAGTGTGGCTGCGCCTCATCAACCCACCTTTAAGACAAGCTTTTTAGATCTAGATACAAGCGCGGGGGCAGAGAAGAAATGTACTCTGCAGCTTCAGACCACTCTAGAGAAGGAGCTGCAAGTGGAATTGAAACGCACGAAGGAGCTACTGCTTGTGAAGGAAAAAGAAATCGCATACTTAAAGGAAAAGGTCTTCCAGCTTGAGAAGATTCTGGCCTTTTTTCTGGCCACCACAATTACCTGCCTACTGCTGCTCTCCTTTCTTGTTGGTATGAAAACTGTCCTTGTGATGGGGTTTTTGCTTGTCGTGGCCCTTTGGTTGCTTGTGGAAATGCCACTGCAGCTATTGATGGGAGCCGTTCGTGTTTTGTATGGCGTTCTTGGGCCCTTCGGCTCTACCCTTGCGGTGTTGCTTGCATCGTTCTGGGCATCACAGGCACTGCGAAACGCTGCGGTCTGCTGATAAAATTCTCTTCAAACTGTAGAGAGAGCAACAGGGATAGAAGAAAAAAAAAAAAACAGTTGAGGGGGTTTATAGGGGGTGTGGAAGTGAACTTTATTTTTGTCGTTTTAGCTGTTTCTCTTGTTGTATTTGAGTTGGTGGGTGGTGAAGAGAAAGTGGCGGAAGTGATTGGTTGCCTCTTGTGTTTCTTTCATATTGCGATTGTGTGTTGCTGCTTTGCTTGGGTCTTTTTTTTTTCTACTTCTCCGAAAAAATGGAGGTAACACGGTGGGACACGACACTCCCAATGACGCACGAGCCTGCCCCCGCTCCGACGGCCCCCGTGGCGGCCGTCTCGGCGCTTTTCGAGGAGAGCAGACTGCGCGGTCAGCACGCGGCGGCCACGGCGGCCATGAATCAACACTACACCACGCTGTACAATAGCCTCCTCACGCTCTCCCGTAGACTGGGGGCCGGCCTTGATCCGCTTTTGGACGGCGAAGCGGCGGGGAACGGCGCGGGGCCGTCACTGCACGGCTGGGGAATCGGCACCATTTGTTCCCACGACTGCGGCACTCTCTTTCGTGTCCGTTGCGAGGAGGAGTGTCGCCAACTTGAGGCCCAGTTGTCATTCCTTCGCGCCGCCCTGGCCGAGAAGCAGCTGGAGTGCGAGAAGCTGCGCGCACAGGGGCGCGCCTCCCGCCTGGAGGTGGAAAATGTGCTGCCATTGACGCTGGCCATCAATCGAAAGCTGCGGCTCTCCACCCCTTCTGACGGCGAGGCATTGTTTTTCTCCATGCGCTCAGCTGCTGCCCCAACGGCGCCGGCCCCAGGGATCCCGGCAGCCGCGGCGTCAAAGACGTCGTCACTTTTGACGATGGCTGAAGCGATAGCGGCGCTGGAGGATCTCATACGTCTACAGGAGCAGGATATATTGCGGAATGACAAGAGCATTTCTTCCCAGGAGAAGCGGCACTTTGTTCTGCAGACGCTGAGAGAGGATTTGCAAGACGCCCGGCAACTGCTCTGGCAAGAGGTGGAATCCCTTAACGCTGCACAAGCGGATGCTTTGGAGGCAGAGGAAGAAAAGTCGCGTCTCCTTCTTGAGTCTGAGACGATGACGTGGGTGAAGAAGTTTGAAGATGCTCTGCTTGGGGACATCGCTAAGCAAAGTGCTGTGCTCACCCAGCGCGCGGCAAAGGCGCGACGGATGCACCAGGCCCTGCAGCGCGTACTTGCCGAGAAGGCCCCAGGCACGGAGTTGACGGACCATGGGACCAATGTGGACAAGGGTGCTGCGAATGAAGAGGAGGAAGGAAGCAATTTGGAAACCTTGGAATTCTCTGTTCAGCAACTGCGAACTGTTCAAGAGTTATTGGCAAGGTTAAATACTTGTGTGGTTAGCCCCTTTGACGACGTGGAGGAGATTGAAAACGTTGTGAAAGGAATAAAGAGTCAGTCGCAGTCATCATCGAGGTCTACTGGCACTCATTTGGAGGCTTACAACTGGCGCAGCTGCCTCCTTCAGGAGGCTTTCACGGACGCAGCACGTGAACTTTACCCTTGGCAGGCGCGTGAAGAATTGAATGTCACTGCAGCGGCCAAATTGCTAAAAAAGCTGAGACGCCTCTGTATTGTAAACAACATATTCTCTCATCATCCTGAGGCACTTGTGGGAGCTGTTATGGGTTCCACTACATCATGGCGCGAGGTGCACCATATGCTGCCCGCCGCGCAGCTGGCCTTGACCCTCCTGCGCAAGAGGCATTAATAGGAGAATGTCATTCAAGTCTTCTTTTTTTTGTTTCGTTTCTTTTTTCCCCCTTCTTACTTTGGTCTCACCTGCGCCGTCCTTTGCCAATGGACTCACATATGTGGGTAGGTGTGTGCGGCGAAGGCGCTTGAATGTGTCATTGGACGTCTCCTGCGCTATGGACGTACTTGTGTGCGTGTGTGCCATAGGTGGGGCAACTGCATGTCGCCTGTGCCGGTGATGGTGTTGGTGTCTGCGACTGGAAAAAGCGAGCGGGAGTGGTTTCTTTATTTGTCTGTTTATATATATATATATATATCTCTCTCTGTGGCAGGCAAAGGGTTGTGTGGGCTCACTAACAGCAGAGAGAAATAGAACTAATACGGCATTAGCGTCAAGAGAAAAGGAAAAAGGGCGGAAGCAGTCGAGTAAAAGAGGTCCGGCGCGAGGCTGAGAACGTAAGATGGATAGTGGGAGCTCTGCCTCAGAGGATGCGGAACCCGAGTTTAAAATCGTCGTTCTAGGCAACGGCGCGGTTGGTAAGACGTCACTCATCAAGCGATACTGCGAGGACGGCTTTGGCCAAAGCTACAAGCAAACCATAGGCCTTGACTTTTACTCGAAGAAGGTGGACGTTCCAGGATTTCGGTCCGTTAGACTGCAGATTTGGGACATTGGCGGGCAGCAAATTGGAGGAAGTATGCTTGCAAACTACGTGCATGGCGCTGATGCCATATGTTTCGTCTACGACGTGACGAACCCCGCCTCCTTCAAGGATATTGAGGAGTGGCACGAGTGCGTCCTCGCACTACTGGCAAAAGAAAAGGGGCGAAAACCGCTGATGGTGCTTGTAGGCAACAAGACGGATTTGCCAAACCGACAAGTTTCGGCGGAGATGCATGCACAGGCGGCAGACGCGTACAATATGCGACCCCTTCTCATCTCTGCATGCTCGGGGGACAGGATCAACTCCCTCTTCATGATGCTTGCTGCCAAGCTAGCGGGCGTTGGCATATCGCAACAGGAACTTGATTTGACGAATAGGGTAGTTGTGAGCATCGACTCGGTGCCGGACGAGCGGACACCGGCCTTTCGAGCCTCTGAAACGGGTGGAAAGAGGAAGAAAGTTGATGATAAGTGCGAATTAATGTAGAGGTATTTAAAAGAATGTGGGGGAAAAAACAAAACGACGCCGATAAGAAAAAGTTGCACCTATAGTGCCTCTTGGTATGTGCTTTGTATTTCTCTTATTCTATCGCTGGCGTCTTTTTCACCTTGATTGGGATGTCCCTCCTGACAATTTCTTTCTTTTTATCTTTGAACTATTTCAGTTCTCTGTGAAAATTACAAATGATTTACCCCGCTGCTTTATATGTGCCTCCTTTCCTCTCTTACTGCTGCTGCTGTTGCCGCTGTTTTGGGCTGCCATTCGGGTGCGGCAGCATAACTAAAGCGCGTACGACATACCATTAAGCGTTTCTGGGCTATGGGCATCTCCGAAGGCGAAGCGAAAGTGAGGGCAACGTGGGCCGTTTCGCTGTATGGCATTCCTAGTCCTGAGTATGCCAAGGAAGAAGATTCCTTTGCTGGTGTCTCGGTGCAGGAACGGGTTCCGCACTGGTGTCACACGCTCCCTGGACAGGCGCAAAAACGTATTGGATTTCGTTACTATTATTATTGGTTTTTCGCATTTTTGGACGAATGAAGAGGCCTTCTGTCGCGCTGTGCATGCGGACTGACGGAAACCCCTCAGAAGGAGCAAATATGATGGGGTTATGGGTACTCCGCGTGGAGACGCATCAAATTGTTTTTCTTTTTTTGTGCGGCAACTGGACAAATTTGCCGCACCGGATAAAACCGACTTGAAGGGAAGCTTCTGCTTCGAAGCATGCGAAATTCGACGTGGTCGTATGGGCGTTGGGCTTCCCATTGGCACCTGCAACTGTTCGCTTCGGCTCCTATTATTGTCGCTTATTGAGGCCCTTGTTGCTGGCAACGCGACGGTGACCAAACCAAGTGCATGTTGACAACTGCCACGGCGGTCGTTATACGTGAACTCCCTCCCACACATATATTTTATTGGGGACATTGGGGTGTTGTTGGCGGTGGGGTGTCGGAACCGACGCAGCTCTTTAGGGGCCTTCCACGGGAGCCTCCCATTCGAGACCTTCTTGTGCAAAAGGTGTGTGGTGCGGCGGGGCATCGGGAGGAAGTACCTCAACACCCCGCAACACCCACCCTGTCTGGC